GAAAGCCCGAGTTTCCCAGCTCAGTCATAAACTGGAAATCCCATTTCACTGACACTAATTACTTGGAGGAAAAATGAAAGGGGCTCTGAGAATCTGGAAGACATTTGAGAACAAAGTTTAACACAATTTCTTGAGTGAATCCAGAAACAAAGTTTTGTTTTCCTCATTCATCAGGGAACAACTAACAGGCTTCCAGGGTGGTGCTTTGTTCTCGGCTGCACCAGGCTTCTCTCCTCGGATGCACGATGCCAAAACCTGACCTAACAGACGTTGAAAAGTGTGAAAAGTATTTAAGCTAAACTCTTTTGGGGCAACTATGCATTCATTATATTTAAGTTCTTTCACTACGAAGAAGGTGTCCTATGAGGAAAACTGCTCTGCTTGGTGTCTACTGGTTTGGGAGCCTCACTCTGTCCCTCACGATGGTTCCTGCTGGTGTCTCTTCCTGTCCCTGCCAGGCTGGCCCTGGGAGAAGGACCGGCACATGCTGCTGACCTGCCTGTTTTCTTTGCTGGAGCCCCTGTGATCACAAGGCCAGCCGCGTTCTATCTTTGACTTAGTTCCCACCACTAACTCATTCTGCTATGTCCCCACCACTCCTGGGCTGAACAAAAATCGGTACCTCAAATCTTACTTTCTGCTACATGACACAAGAGATGGCTGGGATACCACCTACAGTAGTTTCTTTCCGAAGAGGCTATGGAGGGATCTAGTCAAGATTGGGCAATGGCCAACTGCTACCTGGAGCTGGGGAGAAGCTGGGCCACTAAGAACCATTTGGGCATTGGTTTGGACTCCACCTTAACAGTCTACAAATTTACTGCCTAAATTCTCAAAACCCAAATACTTCACAAGTACCTTCTAGTGGGTGTGTGTTTATTTTTCTGGGCCCAAGTCAAATAAAGCATGACATTTATGTGAGTTTAACTCTTCTTCCAAAATAACATTAAACTTGTTAGTTCTGGATGTTCTCATCAAGCCGCAGGTGAGCCAGGCAGCTACAGAAATGAACGGCCAAGAAGGGTGTCGAAGAATGAAGTTTCTTCTTTTTCGTAGCAACATCTTTGCAATTTTTTAATTGCTTACTTAATGCTGTGCCCTTAAGGAATTCCTACAATTTTCCTTAAACTGCCAAAAATCTCAGCTGAGATTTTTGTTGGACCATCTTGTTTGTGCCACACGAACCGCAGTGCAAGAATGTCCAGCAGAGTTGACAGCTGAGGGCAGGCACCCCCGAGGACCTCGCTGTTCCACCTCCTGTGTGCAGCCTTCTGACGCTGGGACGTCCACTTCCCCTGTGCAGGGCGGCAGCGTCCCAGAATTCCACGGCTATGGGCGTGTTTTGAAATTGAGCTTCTAGCCCATGACCGTGGGATTCTAACTCCTTATAGGTGTTTCAGCGTACACTGTTCCAGGACGGGGTAGGTCTTTTGCAGCTCACTGGCCAAGAAGCCAACTGCCAAGCAGTGGCCCACAGTGAGGTGTGTATCTGTAGAACCTTGAAGATCTTGGGAGTGTTACTCTACATTTGACCTGCCAATCTTAGGAAGATCTTGACGGCTTCTTTAATCTGGATTTCCCCCCTATTTCTTGCTAGTTCTATGTCCTAGACATAGGACTAGAACATCATTCTTCCCGTCCTACACCACTGTTCTTTCACTGGAATTAAATTTTCTATGGTTCGGAGTGACTCCTATCTTTGTTGTTCTTGAGGCTCTGCAAGGCCATATTTGAAGTAAAAACTATGGCAGACCAAGTTACAGTTACAACAACATTAAGATTTCTGTGCAGTTGAATCCTGGCCTGAGATTAATATCAAAGATATAACAATCTAATCTGATAAAATCTTTGCAATGAAACAGATGCCTATTTATTACTGGGTTGACCAAAAAGGCTGTTTCGTTTTTGTCTGTAAAGTAAGACACATTCTTCATTTTCACCAATAACTTTGATTTGAATATTCTGAGTATGTCAGCTGTCTCCTGCACAGTATAAGGTTGATTATTCCCAATTAACATCTCAATTTGATAGCTATCAACTTTGATTGGTCTGTGGAGCATTGTCCAGTGAAAAATCTCCAGTGTAAAACTTTGCACTTTTGATACATTCAATCAGTCACAGTACCTTCTCCACACACTGCACAAATCTTTGCGTTTCAATTGTGTTTTTAGTTTTCCTGAAATAATAAAGCATAATATGCAAAACTGTTGCATATTTTCTTCCATCTTCAATACTGAAATGGCTACACAAAATTTCACCAGTTTTTATAAGTTTCTTTTTTCATGCACGTTGATATGACAGCTATCACAATACACTCTAACAAAATTCACACTGTTTTGAATGAAGTTAAAGACAACTAAGTGCTACTAGAGCCATCTCATGGAAAAAACAAACACTCTGGGTAACCCAGTATTTCTAAAAGGCAGGTCTATTTATGCATTCATCTCAATTTGTATTCTGGTATGGTGTTTTGGGTCAGAGAAAACTGAAGGCTATCACACAGATTTCACCTATCAGGCACCAAAATAAAATTTTAACTTCTAGAGGCAGCATGAATACAGTATGCAAATGTTACACCGTTTGTGCCAAAATGGTTTTTATTTTACTCCAAATCTCTACCATTTTTAAGAAGTTTTAGCAAGGACACACTGCAATTAATGGAGCTAAGCATACTTTAAAATGCCGTCATCTGCAGTAGCAGCTCTCACGTGCAGTGCTGCTTCCAGCCCTGCGTGCTGATGAACACAACTCCCAGCACGTCAAGTCCACACCCCTGACAGCTGCTCTCGGAGCACACTTCACTCCCCCAAGGGGCCCGAAGCCCAGCCTTCTACCCAGTGGAACCTTACAATGTCAGGTGTTTGAGTTCCGGAAATTCAGAATTCCTTATGCTGAATTTTCACACCCAAACTGTAGCAGTCCAAGGGGCTGTGCCTTCAAAGACTCCAGTGCACTGTGGTGAAAATGTTTCCCAAACCCAAATGGCCGGAAAGGGTACGTGTGGGTTCACTAACTCTAAAGCAGCGTTGATTCCACAGAACTTACCTTGATAACGGAAATGTTTTATAAATCCGTGCCGTCCAATACGGTAGCCAATATCCACGTGACTACTGAACACCTGAAATGTAGTTCGTGTGACTGAAAAACGGAATTTTTAATTTTAATCAACTGCAACAGGCACAGATAGCTAGCGGTAACAACACTGAACAGCACAGTTCTAAAGCAACAAGGCTTTGAGCAACATGACATCTGTCTGATGGACGGTAGGTATCTCTACACACTAAGGAGGCACTTGATGCACACAGGGTAGCAACCTGTCCTTGATTACCTCTCCCCCTCTGCCTCTTCTCCCGTAAAAACAAAAATAAAACAGCAACGATGAAAGACCCACATTGGTTTAACACTAATCTCCTTGAATAAAAGTAATCATTTTTAATAGTCCAAGATAAAAATAAACGAATGCCAGCAAAACAAAGAATTGGAAATAAGCATACTAGAAGTTATTTATGTTTAATGCTTAAAAGTCTGAATGCACAAACAATCTACCATTATAGAAGTACTGGTGGTCAATACAATGCATTAAAACTATGTACAATGCACAGTTTAGTATCAAAATCTTTCTACACTGTAGTTTTACGAAACTGTTAATGACATCAAACACTAAGCACTTAAGACACCATTTTTTTTTCTGCTACCACATTAGGAACGTCAATGGACAGTCCATTTCAACTTGTAGCATCCATCCATTTCTAGTATGAAATTAAGTAATTTTCTACTTATACAATAAAGTTTATCTACATGGTTCTCTTGATTTTGATCCATAGCAGCAAAGGCACTGTACATCAGCAGATCCACAGACTTAAAAGATTTTTAAAGCATTCAAACAAAAAATAATAATAAAAAAGGAGTCACATATCATAGTTTAACAGCAACAACAACAACGTAAAAGATAACACAATGTTTCCGGCACAATGGCACAGCCTGTGTCCATTTCGGGGACATCCAACTAAGCCGTGGAAAGAACCAGAGGTAAGGGAAGCAAGTCCGCATCCCAGGGGAGAGTCCGTTCTTCCTGGTTTTCAGAGGGAGGGCCTTGCCAATCCTCCTCTGCTGTCTTGTTTTGTAAAGGACTTGACTTGCACAGCAGGAAGAATCTGCGCGGTCCCCAAAGAACATGCCAAAAAATAGCCCGTCATCTCCCCTAATGACAAACTGCCCAAAGATAAACATCTCCCTTTGCAAAGAAATGTGGCAAAAATATCCAGAGGGATTAAGTTCTCTCTTTGAGGCCCAAATTTAACTTGTTCATCTGTCTATAATACAATAAAAAAAGAATTAAAAACATATCTCAAAGACACTTGTCAACAAGTCAAAAAAGGAAAGAAAAAATGAAAAAGTCCGATTACTTTTATCCAATATAATCTAAAGCTACAGATATACTGGTTAAAGTTGTCCAAACAGACTTAGATGAGTATGACGTGGCCTGTCATGTTCTAATTGTTCAGTCAAATTTCCAAATGCCTTGAAAAATAAGTAGAAAACAAAACCAAAATAAATCTAACACAGCAACATATTGCTTCAATATGTAATTATACATTTCACATCTCTATACAGTCATTAGTCTACATTTAGTGACATTTTTTATCGATTATTTTAAACCTTCCTTCCCCCTCCTTTGCCAAAAAAAGGTGGGGAGGAGTAGCAAATACAACGCATCTTCATTATCAATGCAGGAGCAGACAGCTTTATTTAGTCAGTCATTGTTAGAAAGCCTTCTTTAAACAAAATAAATATATTACAGATATGATACATAAAGATTCCGTTCGCTGTTAAGTATGGTTAATCCTTGTTCTTCCAAGTAGAGCGCTGAAGATTTGGTATCACAGGTTCTTAATGAGTATTCACAATTCAATAGCAAGGAGGAGGTGGGGATGGAAAGGAAGGGGACCAAACGCCACGACCGCAATGAGCATTGGGAATCCTTGGTTTCAGACGGGGGCGGGGGGGAATGATAGAACAAAGTGCTACAAGGAGGTGTCCAGTTCACATGAAGATTTGTCCTCAATAAATAACTTCATAAACCGTGGCTTTCTTATCCCCAGAGCCAGTGACAATGTATTTGTCATCCACAGAGATATCACAGCTAAGCACCGATGAGGATTCTTTGGACTGGGAAAGAAACATAAACAAAAAGGTTTAACACTGAAAGAGAAACCCATTAACACTGAGAGGCAGGACTGGAGGACGTAGAGCAAACAGGACCCTAACATGTCCCACTGACCAAACAAGAACCAGACAGGAGCTGAAGCCAGGAAAGGCAGCCTCGGCACTTTCTTAGAGCAGCTGGGCCAGGCGCCCCCCTAGGGACACTTCACCACATCAGCCTACAGGCTCCTGCCCCAGGGAATCAGGTGCCAGGCGGGTCAATGGATGAACCACGGCCCTATTTCAAATCCTATTCTCCAGACAGGTACAAGCAGGAGTCTAAGTATGAAAAACCCTCAGCTTCACTCATATGGACCTGGGTTTAGGTAGCGCTACAAACACCAGACATCTCTCTTAACTTGTCTGAGCCCCAGTTTCCTTGTGGAGAAAACAGGCCACGACATCTCACCCGTCTACTTCCCTTCTACGGGGCTGCTGTAGTGTTTGAGTGAGGCAATAAATACATGGGCAGGAACACTGAAAACACTCCTTGTACGGAAAGTAGAAGTATTTCTAAAACAAATTTCCTCTGTGTAAAAATGGAACCCCAATTTGCAAGCAGGAAGGGGTTCAATAGTTAGATAATGCACCACACTTTGAGCTCTGCACACTTGTCCAATTGCACTACTATAAAAGGGTCAAATTGTAACTTTGAACTGAATTGTGCTAACGAACAAAAACACCCACAGGGTCTCAACTATGGCTTTGAACACTTAAAAAATAAATGCTGGACATGCAGCTGCTAACCCACTACCAGTGTTTCTCAAACATTTTGATCACAATCTCAATAAATACATTTTACTTTGCAACTCAGTACGGACACAAGACATAACACTTACACTTGCTACAGAAGATGAACTCTAATTTTTTTTTAAGTACTACGTGGAACCATGTAAAAGGCTGTGACCCACAATACAAAAAACAACAGAAAACACAAAAACCCTGAAAACAAAAAAATTCCACTGTATTATATTATTATAAACTTCATGATAGCAAGAATCAGTTATTTTTGTTCTACTGATTATATTGCTCAGTATTTTCACTCACAGTACATTGCTTGATCTATGTATTTTTGGATTCAATTATAACCTACTCTTATGATGACTTAGTATCACTTGGTCAAGGAAACTGCAAAATCTGTTACATTATTCCAAAAAAGAACAACACTTAAAAAATAACATCCTAAATATGTAAGGGTAAAAAGAGAAGTCATTCTTCACTTGCCTATGAAGTTCTCACACACCAGTAAGAGAGTGAGAAGGGTGTGTGTGTGTGTGTCGTGTCTGAAGTCTAGTTCCCCTACAAGTACCGGCACAAACTACACAGAGTACCACTAAGTCAATGAGAAGAATAAACACTTATAAAATTAATCAAGATTTATTGAGCTTTTCCATACCATTCTTCTTTGGAAAAAATTCAAAGAAACAGCAACATTAGTAAGAGTATTCAGGAAAATGCTCAGATTTTAAACAAAGAAGTTTTCTTCTCTGCACAGTGTGAACACTGCCAGCTCCTACCTCCCAGGACACGCTGTCCTAGCGCACTCCTAACCCGCCAGAACGTGGGGAACAGTGTGGCTACCACCTGCCATGCAGGGCGCTCACGTAAGTGGAGGCACAAGGTAGGTGTTACCTGGAATATGCTGGCTCCGTACGGCGTCCTCCAGGCGTTCAGAAGGTTGTCCTTTCCAGTGCTGACAAACCATTTGCCTAGAGGAAGAGGGTTTCGAAACAAGCAGTGTCTGGGATACTTTGTCAGACACCCAAGAGATTCGCTTTACAGAGCTTCAAGCCACAGATAAAAAACTCATCTAATTTATGCAACAAACAGGAGGGGTTTTTTTCCACTGTAAAAACAAGACCCACTCTCCTAGATTTAATGAGTCATTTATACTACGACAAGGACAAAGTGGATTAATGCTAGAAAATTACATGGCATTAGGCAAGTAGGCATGTGTGAGGAAGTAGTGTAATTTTGAAGAGGGACATGTTAATGAAGTAAAGAACGGGACTTAAAACGAATCAGCAGGCGGGCGGAAGGAATGATTCTGGCCGACGGGAAACGGACCCCCAGAGGGCCTGCTTACCACAGTGGGCAAACTTGAGCGACAGCACGCAGCTCTCGTGCAGGTGCAGCTGGTACTTGTCGGGCTTGGTGACATGTAGCACCTCCACGTTGCTGTTCTCCATCCCCACCGCAAGCCATTCTCCGGTTGGGCAGTAGCCCAGAGAGAAGATCTAGAATTGCAACAGGTGACAGTGACCATGGCTACAGAGGACATACTTCTTTACCTGGGAAGAACTGTTTCTTCTGGGGATCCTACTTAAATTGTAAAGGAAATCAAGATAATTTCAACTGTACAGGGGGAGAAAATCAAAGCCAAATGGGTGATCCCTCAGGAACAAGACAGATCTCCACAATATAATTTTAAATTATGTAAAATTCAAATATATACACAGTAATGGACTTCAAAATGAAAACCTGCTAAAAGCTTATGAAAGATTTCTTAATCCTTTAATAAAATACATACTATTGTATTTTGATAGAAAACAATGGAATTTTCACCTATCTAATCTAGAGTCAGAAGTGACTTAGTCTCATGGTAGAGAAACTGCCCCTTCTTAAGTTGGCTTGTATGTCACAAAACCATGGCTTTGACACGCAACAGGCACTTCACCGTACCTGCGAGGTAAAGTCGTGCTGCTGTAGCTGCCGCCCTTCGCGCAGGTCCCAGGACCGGACCGTGTTGTCCAAGCCGCCCGTCCAGAGCTTGGTGCCATCATTAGAAATGTCAATACAGCTGGCCCCGTCTGTGTGGCCCTGGAATTGCCTGGAAATGTCAAAATGGAGAAAAAATCCTTGAGAAGTTAGTCTTTAAGGTGAACTCATGTTAGAATTTCTCAGCAATTGATTTCGTTGAAGGCCCTATTGGTATATTTCGTTTGTTTTCTAATTATTTGAAGTGATAACAAAGCATCCATGTAAAAGAGATTCGAGTTAAATTGAGATGCTGCACTTCCTGTGCTTTTTGTTTATCTTTAAACACTTAGGAAGTACTTGCGTGGGGCTGGGTGCGGGGAGCAGCAGGACCCCCTCTGCCAGTGGGCAACAGCGCGTCCACGGGGGGGGTGGGGCTGCGCAAGACCAGGAGGCTCTCAAACAAGGCACATGGAAAGAAGCTCGGGTGACTCAGCTCCCACAGGAGCTGGTAAACTGTCAAAAGCACTGAGGGGAAGAAGGGATTAGAAACAGTTCCTCTTAAGAGCCTTACCCAAAGGGAACACAGCGATGACTATTTTGTTTTTAGAATCATATTACAGAGCTTAGTCCTGCCTAATATCTTCCAGACAGACAGCAGAGGCCTCTTCTCCCTGCATACGCCCCCGCCCCCTAGCAGGCTTGATTACAACCTTCTCACACCCGTTGGCGGATCACACCTCTTGCTTCCTGCTCTCCCTGGTGCTGACGTGTGGAGACCTGTTTCAGGGCCTCACGTAGCAACACTCTCCTGCACACTCTCATTTCTACACAGACATTTTAGTTATGTCTCTCTATTCTTAAAAGTGGGACTACAGATAACCCAGACCTTTACAGGGTGAACAGCAGCGAATACACGCGTGGGCCCACGGCAGGTGCTCAACCACCCTTTGTTGAGGAAACCAACAGGTCAGATACACACGGCAGAGAACAGCGCCACGCACTGTGAGTCTTCTCGGTGAGGGTCTAGCGGCAATGGTGGTTTGCTAGCAAGCACAGATGGCAATTACAGGTGTTTCACGAGCTCATGAGGTCATGGGAACCTTATGTACAGCAATTATGTAACAGTGATGACGTTTTTTTAAACCTGAATTGATGCTGCTTAGTATAATGTCAAAAAGGAAAAAAAGAAAGCAAACCTCCTCATCTGATAAACTTGAAATCATGCAGCAAACAAGATTTTGCATTGACAATTTGTTTTTAGCATCTTAAAATGGGCCTATTCTTAGCAAGTTTCAGTAAGGCAATTCTATCTCATCTTTCAGACAGACAGACTGGCCTGAGTATAGGTCTCAGGCACAATGTGGTACAAGCAGCTCCTCCTCACGGCCTGGTGAGGAGTCCTGCCGACCCACCTCACCAGCGTCTGGTTGTGCAGGTCCCACACGGCGATGTTGCCGTCGCTGCAGCAGGAGAAGCAGACCTTGGAGTCGGGGCTGATGGCCAGGGCGTAGCAGGCGGGGGCCGAGGACGTCAGCTCTGCCTTGATGCGCGGGGTCGGAGCAGCCAGGTCCCAAATGGACAGAGTGCTGGCTTCCCCTCCCACAATTAAGGTGCGGCCATCAGGGAGCAATCGGCAGGAACGAATGTAGTTATCCCTGTTCTGTAGAGACAAAACCATCAAGAGATTACTCATGAGGAAAGGAAAACAGCATTAACATGAGAGAAGAAATTCATAAAAGTATTGTGTTCCCTCCTGCTTTTAATGAGCCATTTCTACTTACGACAAAGATAAAGTGGATTAATGTTAGAAAATTACATGAAATTAGGGAAGTACTTAAACTTGATCTACAAAATTTAGTACTGAGATATTTAATCTTAATTAGCATATAAATGCAAAGATACAGACCCACTCCTACCACCACCGCCACCACCACCAAATCAATCAGCTGTCTGAGTCATTTGCACACAGGGGCACAGCAGCCCTCACAGTCCTGGGGAAGCCACGCCTGGGAACCTGGCACACTCCACCCAGCTGGGGAGAGGTCCTGCTCTTGCTGCCAAAACTGTCAGGGGCTAAACACACCTAACAGTCTCTTCCTTTCACCTGGCTAAAGGCGTCATAGGTTTGACTGGTTATGCAGCATTAGCTGGAGGCAAGAAACGATCAAAAAGTGTTAAATAACAGAAAAGAAAATTTCCTCCCAGTTCACAAGGCCATGGGAATCCTGCACGTTAATTATGTCAAATTTACCTAGCACTGTGCTGTAGCAAAAATCCTACTGCTATTGTCTAAGGAAAAAAATCAAACTAAAATTTCCTAAAAAACCTAAAGGACAAATACCCATGACACAGCTAAGGTTTTCGCATTAGGTATGAAGTTACTCCTGTCTCACAATGTGACGGGTCACAGCACTTAGCTGTACTCCTACTTTTCCTACATGCCTTTACGAGACAGAAAAACAAGTGCTATGCCTGTTCCCAGGCACCGGGCTGGCTGAATGACAGCTGTCCTGGTGCAGCGTCACGTGACAGAACTGGACATTAATTCTGCCTTAAGGAACTGAGAGAAGACGTGCCTCTTCACCAGCACTCTAAATCTCCATGTGAAAGACCACAAACCACTGGAAACAACAACCCACTTGGGATGAATACTCTGTTGTTTGCACATCCTGGTCTCAGCATCCCGTCCTGTTTTCTGAATGAAGGCCTAAGCCCTGTCCATCCATATTCACTCACCAGACAGTCGAGCTGAGAGACGGGGCTCTTATTGCCGGGGTGGCTGATGTCCCAGACCTTGACGCAGCCCTTCCCGCCCGTGTACACGTGTCTCGTGGGGTTGCTGATGGTCACCGCGCACACCACCTCCCCGTGGTTCAGGGTGTTGATCTGGCGAGCGTGTCGGGGGATGCCGGGCCCAATGAGGGCGTCGGGGGGGAAAGGGACCGGCTGCATCTGGCCATCGGCCGTCACGTGGAAGGAGTATGCTCTAAGGCGGCGGAGAGGAGAAAAGAGAGGAAGAAATACTAATTAAAGATGTCTCACCCCTTCAGGGCACTGCCTTCTACTTTGGATGAGTCAGAAGGCTGTGACGAGATTTTTGCCTATAGATCATTTCATGCCAATCAAGACTTACTAATTTTAGATCAATAAGTAAAAATTACAAAGATTTAAGGAGTCTCCAGGCCTACATGGTGAAATGGCAGCTGTGATACAAAAAGGATAAGAAAAGAAATAAACTCCTATCAGACTTGATATGACAAATTCTAGTAATCCTATGTGGAATTAGAATCTGAAGAAGTATTCTGTGTGACCGCCCCAAAGCCCACTGTGAACACCTATCCGCAGCTCCATCTCCAGTGGAGCATTTGGTTCTAAACGCCACTTAAGTCAGAGCAGCTCCCTCAACAGACATCTCTAGTCTTAGGGCCCCGAAGTCAGGGAGGGGACGACACAGGGGGCTATTCTGATGCATCTGGAGCAGGAGAAGTCTGCGGTGGGTGGGCGGGAGCTGGGCCTGTCTTGGGGGTACTGTGGGCAACAGCCCACTTGAAATGATGTTATTCTGCTTTGACGTGGAGCTTTGGAATGTACTCTGCTCATGGAAGAAATGTACCAAGGACATACCAAAGGAAAGCTTTTGTGGATACACAGAAGACAGGAATTTGGAGCATTCAAATGCTCCAAATCAAAAGTTTTAGAATTGAATCAAAATTTTATGGGCCCTTAATGCAAAAACCTATAGGCCAGTCACATGCATCAAAACTCAGCTCGTCACTGAGGGGCCCCGCGAAGGACGAAGCATGCACACGACTACGGCAGATGCAGGTGCCAGAGAGGGGAGGGCTTTCTCCTCCCCTGCTGACTGCAGAGCCAGACTCAGGACTGGGCTGTAGAGGAAAGGCAGTACGTTAGCCCTGTGAAGGGGAATAAGGGTGGGAGGTAGGCAGACAACGGATGATTTGACTTCTTTGGTCAAATCCATAGAACCCGGAGAGACAGGGATGTGTGACATGAGGAGAAGAGGTACTGAGATGACTCTGAGGTGGGGGCCCAGGTGACTAGGCAGGACCACAGTACATGAAAGGGTTTGGTTCTCCTCCCCTTGAAGGGCTACCTAGGGGAGCCCAAACAGCTTGACCTGAGGTTGAGCATTGTGATTCAGGAGAGAAGTGAGGTTAGAAAGATCAAGGTCTGGACATCCACAAAGTGACAGTTGAAGCAAAAGAATGATGTTGGAGCAGAGTACGCCATGCGTAGAACTGGTACAGACTCAATTAACACCATGCTTACTTTTAAGGAATCTCCACCAAGAGCAATGGAGGAAGCAGGTAATCAGGGGAAGAGGATAAACTGGAACGGGAGAGAAAGTGGCTCATTACATGACAACTTACTAAGAGATTCATTCCCTCAAGGCCTGCTTCCCGGCTCCCCGAGTGTGCCGACACCCATGCTGCCAGGGCTGGGGGTACAACAGAAAAAAAAAAAAAACCCACACGCCCTGTTCTCCTGAAGTCACAGGCTGGGGGAGAGGAGGGCAGCCAGCGGGTGGAAGGGCTAATTTGTCAGTGACGGGTCCACAAGACAAAAATGTCAGGCAGTCAGCGCTGTGAACAGTGCCCGTGCTGTGGCTTCTCTGGGAACCCGACAGACTGAGGAGGACAGGCAAGGATACCACGAGGAGCAAAAGTACAGCAAGTGGGAGAGTGGGCCGAGATACAGTGCTTATTGTTCAGTCGGAAGACACTTACTAAATAACGACGAGCCAAGGCCTATTGGGTGCAGGGGCATCCCAGTGAGACAGACAAAGTCCCCATCCTCCAGGACAGGAAAACAAACTCACATAAGCAGGTAAACAACCTCAATGGTGGTTAAACGCCATCTCTCTTACACACGTGCACACACACTTTTATCTTCAGATATAAAGACTGAAGATGCCCAGAGAGACCTGAAGTGGCATATGAGCTGAGACGTGAAGGACGGACAGAGGCCGTGAACACGCCAAAGGGGAGTGCACCAGGGGGAGGAACAGCAAACGCAAAGTCCGGGGAGCAGAACCAAGTGGGAAGGTCGGGCTCAGTGCCGGCGACAAGGTGAAGACAGGCAGGGGCGACGTTAACAAGGGCTCTGCTGCGTTGTGACGAGGCCAGCAGGTGTTATTCTGAGTAGAATGGAAAGTCACTGAAGACTTTGGGCAGGGCAGTGACATCTTAGTATTTCAGAGGATAATTCTGGCTGCTGCGTGATGAGTGGATTGTAGGTGGCAGAATAAAAGAGTGGGGGCTAGTGCAGCTATACAGGGGAGATGCAGCTAGGGTTTGGGAGGCTGTGAGAAAGCTGGGAATAAATCTGCAATTCAAAAAAAATTATTCTGAGTAAGAGAAAGTAGGGGTTGGATGGGACATTTGAATTTCGAAGGTGACACAGTGAGGGGCGATGACCAGGTCTTCTTTGCGCGTCTGTGAGTAGGTAAGGGAAGCTGAGAGGGGCAGAAGTTCACCAGAGGTGACGTGGTGCAGTTACTGGGGGACTGACCTTGTGAACAAGTCACCCAGGACAGTGGTGCACTCAGCTGGGAGGCAGACCTCGAGTCCTTAATAAAGAGGGGAATGTCCCCCAACAGTGCAGAAAAGCAGCCAGTCCAATGGCACAAGCCGGAGAGGCATAGAATTTTCATCAACAGGTAAAAAAAGAGTTTGGTTTTAGAAGAAACTCGAAAAGCAGGGAGGGGTTGGGGGGAACGATGATGATGATGACACGGCCTTTATCACCCCACCACGGCCCTGAGGACTGCGGGTGTGAGACAAATACTGAAAGGGCACCCCTTAAGAGGGCTGCAGGGGAGGAGTCCCCTCAGGAGACAGCCAGGTGTCAGCTCAGGCAAGGAGGGCAAGGAAGGTGCCGATGCCTGTAGAGAAGGGCAGAGATTCTGACAGGTTACAGCCGAGGAAAAGGCTCATCGATTTGGCAACTAAGAGGTCACGAAGAGTAAATCTTAAAGGAGGCAAAAGAAAGGTTATTCCAAGTTTAGATGGTGCTATACATTCTTAATGATAGTTTACTTTAAAAGACACCCCCCCTCCTCTCTAGAATCACTAAATGGTTTTTAAAGAGCCTCGAGAGTTTCAATAGTTAAGAAACCGACACACAATTTCTGAGGTTTTTAATAGGACAACTCTTCAGTTCAACCACAACCACTCGGTGAACACCTACTATGTTCCTGGAACGCCCTTTATAAGAATTTCAAGAGCCTGCTTGCATTTAGGCCATCATGTGGCCCACTGTTGCTACAAGCATATGTGACGTACTGAACACTGGGAAAGATAAAGCCCTGGTACATACTGTTAATCAGATTTCAACAAACTCTTTGCTGTGCACATACAATAAGTACTGCAATGAGTAATAAAAGCCAAGCTTTCTCAAAATTAGACTTACTCAAGCTTGAAGAACTGTTTTTTTTCTACCCAACTGGATGCATGAGCAAGCACACTTCCCAGCCACATACCCTGATCTGTGTCATGCTAAGAATACAGAATCAGGTGAGGCACTGGCCTTGCCCACAAACAGCTTACCCTCTAGGAATTATGAGAGAAATAGAAAAGTGACTACAATACGGGCTGGAAAGCAGGAAGTTCTGTGGTAGTTCAACAAAGAAAGCTACGGCTTATGTTTCACGAGAGAAATGGCACTCGGGATAGATTTTACTGAATGGAAGGATTTCACTGGGAGGAAGGAAGATGGAAAAATGATTCCAGGGATGGAAAATAGGGAGGCAGGGGAACAGCAGAGAACAAGGGCTTAAAAATGAGGTGAAATTATCTGGGTAATTTCTGAATTGGTTTTAATCCAGGAATTCATTTATTCAACAATGACTCCATAGTGCGTGACTGGAAGGACTGGCCTAAGCACAATCTGATAAGATACATCATCCATATGTATACATATGAATAGATATCAATATAATAACATAACAGGGGAGTGTTAGAATGCCAGCCTGAGAACATCACAAATGGAATTTAATAAAGGGCACTTAGAGATTTCAAATAAACTTGGAGGGAACTGCAGAGGGATCAACCAAATTCGGATGACCTGAACATGGACAAACCCTTAGTGGAAGAAGTTCAAAGGTGACTGGGTGGATCATTTAGCAGGGGCTTTTTGCCTTGGTAGTAATGCCAGGGACTGAGATCTTGGGTAAGGCCTTTAGAGAGTTACAGGGTAGAGAGAAATTGCTGCTAGAATGACACCGATAAATGATGAACGACAGATGTTCACCGAAGTTCTACAAAGAACTCATTGCTCTTGCCTCATCTCCTGACCCCTACACCTCCGACCCTCGTCCCACCTTCCTACCCTGCTCCATTTTATTGCTGTATTCTCTTTATTCTCTCAGCTTATGGATATCGCACTGATGTTCTAATAAATTCAACCGATAAGGATTTAGTGGTTAGGTGCAATATATACATTTTGGGAGGGCAGGGAAAAGGGGTGGGATACCACTGGGACAGAGCCATTCATAGAATAAATTTGGTAACAAGCAGTATAATGGTAGGAGGAGTAAGAAGTAATCACGTCAATGATCTAGATGAGATGTAATGAAGGTCCTGAACTAGGAAGGAGAAGGACAACATACCAGAAGTAACAGATACAGGACTCTGTAGGACTTAGTTTGGACTTTCTCACAGAACTGTACTTCAACTAATCAAGGAATCTGCAAATCATTCTTTTTCAAACATGTACACATCACAGTTACTGTATATAGATCACTTTTTGATGAAAACCCAGCTTAAAGAAGGTCCTTCTCTTCCAACAGTCCACCTCCTTCACCTTCTGTAAGAGGCCCAATTCTGTGATGTTACACTCACTTTTCTCATACTTTGCAACACCTTCTCCAGGTTTTCAATGTCCCAAGACTGAACCAGACCTTAAATTTACAATTACAGGTCTGGTGATCATACTTCACAACGTGTGATACAAAAGTAGGTTCTGGAAGTCGTGTGTGTATCCACTGGTAGTTAAGCCAGGCAACAAATAATTGAGGGTTTACTGTGTGTCAAGAGTGTTCCTATTTTGAAAAATCTTGCTCTAAAAACAAATAAATACAACACCAAGGAAAGATTTCTGAATTATGAGCAGCGTAAAACCTATAAACCTGAGGTCTTTTGTTATGGCTGAATTCACATGCCATAGCCTATTATACAATTAGTACCACAGTTTTAATTGAATATTTACACACTGTAGAAGCCTTATTTAAGTAGAGGTGAGGAAGAGGGTCCATTTTTGGCTTCTGTTGAAATTAAACTATGTTGTCATTCCAATTACATACTGAGTGGATCCCTTGCTAATTTACCAGAACAGACACAAGGACCCAATGTGAATTACCAAACAAATGTTATTTTATTCATTAGTATGAAACATGCACTTAATTATAATTTTTGCTAATACCTAGCAATTCATTCTGTAAAAGTAATTAGGACAGAGATGCCCAATTTCTTTAAGTTTTTCTGGAGACGGCCGCTTGCTGCATGTGTGTGGTGAGGGAGGCAGGTGATTTATTATGTTTCATGTTCTAGCACAAAAAAATAGTTTGTTGAAAATATGCACAACACAGTGTTTCACAGTTCTGTATCTTATAACCTGAAGAGTCATATAATCATTATAATCGCTTCTTCTACAGATCTATAATAAAATCATATTATCTCTATGTGCATAAATGACTGAATTTATGTCTCACTGCCCTGTTGTATGAAAACACACCAATAGCAGCAATGTGGAGTCTAACTTAGTCCACTCTTCTTTAGCCATTTCTGCCCCCTACAGTATGTTGTATTGCATCAGAGGCTGAAAAACTGATAGAGCCCTGGGGCAAGGCCGACAGAAAGTAATGCTGCAGTTGACTGAATAGCTACCTTGTACCAAACACGGTACTAAACATGGAACATACTGTTTTACTTCATCCTCACATCAGCCCTGGTTTACGGATAAGCCAAATGAAGCTCACAAAGTTAAGAAATTGCATAAACTTGTCCTCTAGTTGTCAACTGGCAGAGTCGGAATGAAACCTGAATCGACCTCATCCAGAACCCATACTCTGTGGACCACACCACTCTCTTTGGGGTCCCTAGTGTCATTTGCCAATTGCATTAGTTGTGACTCTGTCACTCCCAGGAACGAAACATCCCAACCATCCACCACCAACCCTTCCGAAAGGAATTCAAAATTTTTAAAATGCTGAGCATCAAGACTGGGGGAAGGAAGGGAGGCCCAGCTAAAGGTTCAGAAGTCACCATCTCAATCAGACCAGCTACGATTATATTGCAGTTCAAATGGCTCAAACCCTCTAAACCAAAGATGTCATTGCTTCTTGAAATACACTTAACACAGTTTTACCTCTTGCAGCCTTTGGGCAGCAGCTGAGACAAACAGCACCACCTCATCTGCTCTGGTGCTTATACTACAGCTGTGTGTGCAACCACTGCTTAAGGAGTGACGACAGCACCTAAACACAGGACAGTGCCTCTTCCCAAAGGGAACGCTCTGTTTCCCACAGCTTCATACGGAGCTCCGGGTATTTGAGTTATTTGATTAATCCTTTGACCTGGTTATTTAGGTCACCGCATACAAAAAACCGAACTTTCACCTCCAAACACATCGGAGTTTTTGGTCAACAACACTTGTCAGTCAGTAAACAACTATTTGCAGAACACACAGAATTCTGATAATTGATTATACCCTCAATTCTCAAGGAACTTGAAGTTGAATTTGCTTTGCCTCCCTTATTAATCAGTCAAATATTTACTGAGCAACTCAACTACGGGGTCAGCATGTATGTGATCCACCAGGAAAGTTAGGGTAGAGTCTGTATGTACAGCAGCAAGTTACACAAGGAAGAACCAAGAGTTTGAGGTATCTGGTGGAAAGTAAAGAAAGGGTCACTCAAGGTCAGGAATGATTAACATTGAGGGGCAGGAAACCTGAGGGGGGGGGGAAGAGGACACATTGGAGACAAAAAGCTGACAAGTTCCTGACTGTATAGTTAATAAATAAATAAGCAACGTGAGGTGAGGGAAAGGAAAGATCGGCACATACTTTTACTCATTCATCCATCCAATAGGTATAAATCATGATAAACAACCATGAGCCAGGTATCATTCTAGGCACTTTTCTGTAACTGAACAGAAAAGATTTCTGCTGCTCTGCTATTATGGGACTTCTGTTCAAGCAGGCAGAGGCAGATAATGGCTGCAGACAGGTATGAAAAAGGCAAGTATTAGAAAAGAACGACAATGGGGGAAAAGGGAAAGGATGCTGTTTTAGATAGCATTATCAGGGCAGAAGGCTCCTAAGTGGTATCTTCGCAAGACCTGAAGTATGCGGGAAGGACCAGAAAGAGCAAACGCCCCAAGGTAGGCAAGGCAGCAGGGGAGCCTCTGAGAGAAGGAGACTCAGCTGGCTCCCGAGGGCCGAGTCTGGGAAGCAGAGGGCCGGTGAGAAAGCACGAGAGACCACAGAGGCAGCACACGATATGGCACGTCGAGTGGCAGGCCGGATGCCAATGGGAAGAGCAACAAGAATAAAACACGTGAGTAACAAGGCAGGGAGGTTCTGTGGGGATGCTTTCCAAAAGAGAGAAGGAAAAAAAGCAAGCTGGCATTTTAAAGGAAAAGCCAGTGTTATTTTATAGTAAATTCTTTGTATCTGGGAAGATGAAGCCAATTGAAAGGTACACTGGGTTGAAATGAAAGATGAGGAAAGAAATATGGCAAGATGAGAATGTACAAGAGGCTGGAACAACGATGTGCCTGAGTTTTACATTCATGACTCAAGGGGGCTGTGAATACAAGGACCCCCAGCTCCCAAGACAAGCAGCCACTGACAAGGGAGCAAGCCACGTCCCCTGGAAACACGACCGAACACAAAACCACAGCAAAACCACACTTCTTTCTTTTCAGCCTTTGAAGTTAGGTTTGTCTTTTCCCGACATGCTAACATTTTGAGCATCCAGATTTGCATGCAGGACTCTTTTTTTTTTTTTCAAGGCAATGAAAGAACTGCCTTGAAAACAGTAAGAGATGGAGAGAGAACCTGACTGCTGGAAATGCCTCAGCAATTTGCAATTCCGTATTAGCAGCTCGAGATTTTAAATTGAAAACAGAAAACCCCACCTCATTAACCTCTTTCCTTGTGCTAAGAGAAAATGGAAAATACTTTGCAAGGAAAAAAGTAAAAAGAAAACAAGCCAGGGGAGCCCTCCACACTGTCTAGAAGTGCTCAGAGTCTGAAGGGCCAGCCCCGCGACGGGCGGGGCGCAGGGTACTCACGGTTTCCCTCCCGGAATGCCTGTCAGGTTGGGGGGAATGGCTGGCACGCGCATGTGATGGTGGGGATCAAATCCAACCTAAAATGTTTCGTAAGCAAAACAGTAAAAACAGAGTTACCTTTACTCATTCCATCTAAAACCTGAGAGAACCGATTATTTAAATAAGATTTTAGAAACGTATACAAAGGTATTTATATATTTATTGATGCAATGATAGGATGTATCACTTCATGGTAAACATAACTGGGAGTGGAACACCCATAAAAACATACTAATAATTATTCATGCTCATTATGGAAATAGAGCATTCACTAAATTATTACTTACTTTTGTAGCTTTAAATTTTTTTAATTATATATAATATTAAAAAATCCCCTCACCTTATCAAAGAAAATGGATGTAATCACATATAGTTTAATTTATAATACATACTATAGAGAACTCAAATTACACAAACCATGTTACATGTACGATCATCCTCTGTGCTCTGAAATTCAGTTTATTCAGTAAAAAGCCACAAACATACCACCGGTGATCTCCCGTAGGCGGCGGCCGCGGCGGCGGCAGCGGCGGCTGCGCTCATCTGCGGGGAGATGTTGTGCAGCCCCGCGTAGGCGGCTCCAGGGCTGGTCAGCTCCCCGTTCATGCCGGCGTGGGGCACGATCCCAAACGGGGTTGGGTATGGACAGGGGACGGCCATCGGTGTCCTGAGGCTTGAGGCTACAGACCAAAACGGAAGGAGAAAAAGGGGGAAAAACCAAAAACACAGGAAACAATAATGAAGTTAGACATTCTTACATATATTAAAAAATAGGAATGATAGACCAAATAAACTTATTTTAATGTTCACAGATGTCATTCAAGCTTTCATGCTTCATTCATTCACCTTATTTTACTGAATGCCTACTATGTGCTAGACATAGTAGGTGCCAGGTGCTTGGTTTGGGCTAAATAACTTTGTCAAACAGCCATGCTGGTTATTAACACTCTCAACAAACTGCACTCTTTAAACTGCTTTAATTTCTTTTAAAAGTAAGCAACTTATAAATATATAGAAAACTTTTTTTCTTACTAACCCAAGGGGTCGACGCCTGGTGGTTTTCCAGGTACCGGCCTCAGTCCAGGGGTGGAATTACTGCCTGGGGTGGGTGCGTCGGTTCGTGGAGTAGGGGTATTGGACTTTGAAACAGGAGTAGTAGATTTTTCATTCTAACAAGAGATGCAACAAGATACATTCCCAATGAGAACACAGCTTTAACAATGTTGTTTAAAAACAATGATGTTTTACATTTTAAAAGAGAAAGACAAAGGAAAGAAAAAAATGACAAAGGTTCTTTAGCTTGGGTCTTTATTATTTTCATTGATTAAAAAGAGCTAAATTAAGGGTTCCCCAAGACCACAAAACCAATGTTCAAGAGAACATATCCGGAAGCTGAATTAAGGACAGAATAGACCATTTCCAAGAAACGGATTAGGGTCAGTTGGAGGCAGACGAATCACGTGTTCTGACTAGCCCACCACTTGCTGGTGGCTTTAAGACTGAATGGTTTAAGTTGGGCTGCTGGTGGACTGTTAAGTCACAAGGGACTGGTTAACAGGTCCCATTAGAAAAGATCCAAGCCTGAACCACCATACAGATCAGCACAGAGGAGCCACCATTACAAAAGGCCAAGAGAGAACAGAGAAAAACATAAACTAGATCTCCCCTAAGACATGCCCCAGTAATTTGCAGAAAAACTGACAAACTTTCTTTCCTTCAGCTGTGAATTCAAACAGTTATTTAAAACTAAACTTGTCTTTTTTGTCGTTGTTAATGTTATATCACAAGGAAATATGGTGAGGAAAAAGAAAGACACACCACACAAAAATGCAATTAACTACACAGCCACAGAAGACGGGGTTACGGGGAGATCACCCGGACTTGCCAGCAGTTTCATTTTGAGTTGCAATTTGTGGTGTGAGTCAAGGTACATTTTTGTAAATGACAGATTACTTTTTAGATAGAAAGAGAAAATTATCGCAGTCACATATAGCTTGGTAATTCAAACAAAGCTAGCAACAAAATCACATCCAAGCCAGAAGCTAAATTCACCATAAACCACAAGTGACAAAACTATCTCTGTAACTCCAGCGTGTACTTCTTTGTCTTCACTACGACGCGTTTCACTCAATTTCCCCATCTCCCCCCTCTAGCCTTGCACCAAGACTCACACAACAAACATCCGTCACTGACAAGTCAGTAAACCCATCTGTTCCAACAATACTTTTGCTGATTAAACTTCAATGCTGAACATATACATACGTTTGGAAATAAAAGTCCTATAGAAAAATGTAAAAAATACAAAATTAAAAAATTAGTCAAACCCAACCATCCTGAAGCCGGCCAATACTAAGAATGACGATGGCCCACTTACAAGGCTGAGTTCTTTGGATTTGGAGGAAGGAGTACTGCTGGAGGATGCGATTGAGGCCGGGCTGATGGGGGCGTCTTTCTTGAGCAGGCGTGTCTTGTCCAGGCCGTTCTCTCTTGGGGAATGTGCGGGGCTCCCCCGCGGGGAGGACGGATCCTGTGAAGGAAGACCTCGGGTATTAACGCGGCACAGCACACTCACAGTGCTGGAGTACTTGGGTGTGGACGTTTCTAGCTGAAAGTATTTAAAAGCTTCGATAATCTTCAGACTCACCAAATCACTGAAGAAAATATTCAGTATCAAGGTCAAAGAAAACACTACAAACGTGTGGTCTTTATTTAAAAGAAAAATCAAAACTCTACAAATTTGCAAGTCACTTGTCAATGCGATCTGCAAGCTAACTAAGCACGAAGGTCTGGTGTGCATTCACGGTGGCAGTAAAACGCACTAGCGCATCGCAGAAAAGAATCGCAGTAACGGGTATCAGTAACGTATAGAATCAGTAATGCATTAATTTTCCAGGTAAATGTGAAGTGGGCACTACCAGAAATTAAGAAAGCATTGTAGACACTAATTGTTAGGACACCGGTCTTTGTCAGAGCTGGGTATGAACAGGAAGTGAGCCGTAAACATACCTCATTGGAAACGTCAACCACCAAGTTGTCATCACTCTTCTCACCATCGCTGTCCTGCATCGACAATTGACAAGTATTACCTCCTCCTCCCCCAGTTAAAAAAAAGAAGCAGCAGCAGCCACCATATTTACCCTAGATAAATCCAGACTAATCAGTCATGCCTTATACAAAGAATTGCACCAAACAGTGCTACACATTCTACAATGTACTCTATGTTCTTTCAGCCTCAGCTGGAAGTTGTGAGGTAGGTAATATAATGATTCCACTTTACAGTTTGAGAAACTCAAGCTCATGTGGCTTCCTGGCTCCTCCAGAGTACAAGCTGAAAACTGGCGTGCCCACACTGAACCTGCCTGCACGTGGGTGTCATTTGTTCTGTTTTTTTAAAACTGGGTAAGTGGCCACAATTTAAAAAATGGGAGTTTTCACATGGAAATCCTAGTCTTCGGCCTTTTCCCTCCACGAGGCCTGCAGTCTTGCTAGGTGCCACCACAGGAAGCAGATCCCTTTACTACGTGACCATCCCAGCGATTTCCAGCTTGCTCCCTTTACCACGTGACCTCAAGGACCAGTCACTGAAGAAAACCGAGTGTCAGTCCGGGCCAGGGACATCCTAGATGTCTCTGTAAGTCATACTCCACAGGCTTTCTAGATTCCTCAGCACACGTAAACATGAACAGACTTTCTATGACTTTATGTTTTTCCTTAACATTTCTAGCTGACCACAAAAAATTAGCCACCTTGAAATATACGGTGGGAAACAAACCTATCTACAGAAATAATGATATGGGCCACACAAGTATTCCATTAGTTGCCAGATAAAGCACTCCGTGCTCCCTCACACACCAGTGTGCGCTCACCTGCACCCACAGTGGACTTCGGGCCAGCCAATTACGACAAAGCTACGACTGCGATGACTTTTTTTCCTCTTAGGATGTCATTATCCTGTATTCTAGAGTTTTGGCTGGTAACAGTCAAAGGGTAAAATGGACGCTAATAAAAAGCAGGACAAACGGGCCTCCCCAAAGCAAAGGTGAATGAACCTACGTAACGAGCTGCAATTTCCTTTTCTTCAGTTTTCTGCTTTTTGCTGTCAGAGGAATAGTCCGTGGAGTTTCTGTGCTTCTCAGCACCTCGGAAACTGGCTGACGGGGATACGGAAGAGCTCTGAAAGTAGAAAAAAGAAGCACGGTTGAGAAATGGTCAGCCATTTAACAGTGTGATTTTTTACATCATTTGAGACTTTATCTCCTTTTTGTCCATTAGTGTACACTTGCAAAGCCGTTAAGGAGACGGGAGGAGGAGAAAGGAAGAAGAAAACAGGTACAGAGAAAATAACAAGGAGAAGAAGAAAAAGGGAAAGGAGAAGGAAAAAAGGAAAGAACAAAAGAGAGAAGCAGAGATGAGACGGGGAGCGAGAGGAATAAAAAGGGAGGCAGGGAGTACTGTAAACTCAAAAGACAGAATGGGTTTGGTCGAATGAAGATGTTTATATTATACTGTTGAAGTAGCTTTAGAGAATTAAGAAAGCAAGCAGATACGAGAGAAGAAGAAGGAAGAAAAGGCAGGCTTCTTTCTTTGAAGTTGGCTGGTGAATGGGAAACCAGTATTTTAAGTCTCCACAGAGAAACCGAGTAATTTAGAGTCCAGCTTGACAGATAATTAGTAATTCTTCAATGGAAAAAAGGAGAGGTACTCTTGAGGAATTTAAGCACCCTAAAATGATGATCGTGTATACAATGGTCATATTTATGGAGTTTTGCTTTACACCCTGCACCTTAAGGGCCTGGAAGATACAGAGTTGACAGATTAAAGCAAAACGAAACAAGAAACACCCGCAAAAATGCACTGTATTCCTTTATGATTCCTGTTCCTTTTTATCTCTGGAAACCCAGGAATCCCATTAGGCTCAGGGAATGGAGAAAGGTGGTCCCTACCCCCCTGGGATCACAGTCGGGGGTGATCTGTATGTGCTCAAGCCACCTCTGTCACCTGTGCTCTTCCAAAGAGCTCTCAACCAGAGGAGCTCCACACACAGAAAACACACACCGGTGACAAGATCTAAAGCAGAGAATGGGTCTGTCTGCCATTAAGTCGGGTGGTGACTGGGCGCATTTAGATGCTATGAGAGCTTAAAACTATACATGAAGAAGTAAGTGAAGAAAGCACTGATGAAAAGTGAAACTAACCTTAAGCACTGGCTAGTGACTGGTTCCAGAAAGACCAAACAGGCGCTCTATACAAAGGTGTAAGAAAGGGAGCAGGGCTGAGTGCAAGGCTCAGTAGGGCCCAGAACAAAACTCCAAGTGCTAGTAGCCCTGGCTGGTGTAGCTCAGTGGATTGAGCACAGGCCTGCGGACCAAAGGATCGTGGTTCGATTCCCAGTCAGGGCACATGCCTGGGTTGCAGGCCATTTCCCAGCAGGGGACGCACAAGAAGGAACCAACCACGCATTGACATTTCTCTCCCTCTCTCCTTCCCTTCCCTTCTAAAGATAAATAAAATCTAAAACAAACAAAAAACTCCAAGTGCCCCCAGCCTGGGGAAGGAAAGGAGAGGGCTGTTCTTGGAAGGCAAAGAATATCGGAAATAAGAAAAAAAAAAAAATCCGAGGAAGAACAAAGAATCACCACAGAATATCCTTGCCAGGCATCCAATCAATTTGGAAAACTATTCAGTAAAACTATCCTTTTTTCCTTTGTTAGTCTGTTAATAATAATTAACATTTATAAAGATACACAAAATTTCCAAGGACCCTTTAATTAACTGTAAGAAGCAGTGTAACAGCCAGAACTTTGCGCTCTATATTGTTTTACTTGCATTATCCCATAATGATATATTCTCTTGTGGCTAAACTTTCAAAGCACATTGTTGTTAAAGGACGAACAATAAACTTTTTCCACACCTGGGTCAATATTTCGACCAAGAGATCACCCCTGGTGGTGAACTGTGGTGTGGAAAGTCTGCCACCAATTCCAAAGGCAGGGATGCAGGGTCAAAGATTGGAGGAGGAGAAAGATGAGAATGACCAGTGTGAGCACATTCCCACTGACAGGGGCTGGATATTCCTAAACCCTTCCTTCCTGTACTAATCCCTTTCAAGGTTTTATACAAATATTCTAGATGCAGGCACCAAACCCTGCAACTAACCCTACTCAAACATCCACCCTTAATCTCGGTGGCAGAAACGGTGGCAGGCATTATTTAGTAAGGCTGAACACTGAAACATCAGAAGCCAAGTAATTCCTTTCTTTACTCAATAATTTCAATTAAAAAAAAAACAAACTGCTTCTGGATTTTCATGTATCTCTGAGTTCCATTCCTCGTTCCCAAGTTAAGACTTAGGCCAACGCTTCTGCTGTGTTTGCACACCATGACCCAAGGAAATCGGGCTTTTATGACCATGCACACAATTGTGCACACAAACAAACTCTGAGCTGCCATATTTAGTGCCAGAGCCTTGTATCTAGTTTCTGCCCTCTCCAGTCTACCCTCCACATTTCTGGGATTCACATTTCCTAAACTGATATTCAACAAATTGAATCCCTAAGAAAACAACAAATGGTTTCCCACTATCCAGATTTCTGAGGATGGCTATTTTCTCGGGCCCTTCACTTCATGCCCCAACCCAGGGTCCTGGCCTCGTCTCAGCACCAGGAGCTTGTTGTAGCTGCCCAGTGCTCGGTGTTTTATGTTGCATCTGTAGCCTTTTTTCCTGGCTCATGAGAATGCCCGTTCCCTCAGTACCTTCCTTTTGAAATCTCAGTCTTAAGATACAGCTCTAGTATCACTTTTCAAAGCTCCTTCAGACACTATCAGGCAGAACTGATCACCCATTCCTCTATTCCTTAACATTCTGTTCACCCAACGAGTAGAGCACTCACAATTCATGGCTGTTTCCAAGGCCACTTCCTACTTCAGGCTGTATGTTCCTGGGGTAAGGGAAACCCAGCACAGTGAGCAACACAGAACTGCCCAGGAATGTTTTTGAACATGAATGGGGAAACATCACTTCTGTACTCCATCTTAATTCAAAATCCCTGTGATATACCCCCCCCCCCCAGAGGACCTGTAGAATGAACAGCTGCATGGGAAACCATTCACTAGAGTGAGACCTGAGTAGCGTACCCTTGGAAACTCTGACCCTCTTCCCCTTTGCTCTTTAACCTACTTCTTGATGACTTCATCCTACTAATTTGATATTTTACTCCCCAAAAGAGTACATGTGTATGATTACAAACTATCTGAGCCTTCTGATTCTGATACACTTAACTTACTTCCACTCTGTCCAAAAGGAAAAACTGGTTTCTAAACAATGGTGAAATACTTTCTTAAAATTAATATTCAATGGTAATTTTTTTAAACTGGCTGTTTCAGTTTCAGGTTCTGTGGGCAGTATTTATTTGTGAATTTTACTGTAGATCGGAGTCACATGTTGGCGTTTCCTGGTAGATGATGAAGTAGTTAATTATCACTAGCATATAAAGGTTAAGCTGAACAATGGGCACTGGAGCAATAAGCAATGTTTTAATAACATAACTGCTCTGGAATCGAACTGGACTTGGCGCAGGCTGTCATCAGGAATCTCACAAGTGTACCATTCTGCCGCCCAGAGACTGCCGCGATCTTCGCTGGGCGTGGGAACGGAGGAATTAAATAAATTCTGCTAAACACGCTTTCACACATACAAAGGGCTCATTTTTACTTCTTTATTGTTATTTTATTATATCTTTAAAAAACTTTATTATTTTTTAGACAGAGAGAAGGGAGGGGAAAAGGAAGAGAGAAACATCGATGTGCGAGAGAAATAACGATGCATTTCCTCTTTATGCCCCCTAGGGGAGCATAAAGGTCAGGTCTGGGACCTGACCCCGTAACCCAGACATGTGCCCCCACCAGGAATCAAACCAGCAACCGTTTGGTCTGCAGGAAAATACCCAACCCCCTGAGCCACACCGGTCAGGGCTCTTTATAGTTATTAAAAGCCCACCTAGGTTAGATATTTCCTTAGGTTACTACATAAGAAAACTTACTGGAGCTGCAGCATGATTCCGTATAAGTCTACATGTCTAGAAACATGAAACATAAATCTTACTACAGTTTGATCATGTAAATTTACTATCAAATTTGTTAGGAACAAGAAGTCCATGGGTCATCCAAAGAGGACAAAATACTTTACATGTGAATGCCTAGTAAAAAGCCCTGAAAAAAAATTAGCTAAAATTAACTTACAAAGAAAAGCTCTATATTTTTAAAAAGTAGACACTTCTATGGGATTATTAAAAAGAACAAGGTAGATGTTTAATGAAAGAAGAGGAGGGAGCCAGACAAGAAGAAGCCAAAGAAAAATTATTTGTCTTAATATACGGAAAATACTAATTGCTTTGGTAGTAAAAGATAAGCTTTAAAGACAGGTATGGCTAGCTTTACAAATGTCATCTCAAAGTGAGAAAAATTCTAGAGCCAAGTCTGAAATCCAACCTGGACTTTACTGAGGCTATTTAACCAAGTCAGTTGGAGAAATGACACCTCTGGCAACCTAAAGAAGTGGTCTTGCCCCTCAAGATCAAAGATGACTATGTCTGAGAAAGTTCTATAAAGTATTACTCCTTGAAGAGGTAGTGTTGTTATAATTAGCTAATTTTAATAACAGACAGCACAGACTTGACTAGCAGGCAAGAGCACCTCTCTGAGTCAGACTGCCTGGGTTTGAGTCCAGTCTTCTCTTTAATAGGTCTGTAGCCTTGGGGATGCTGTTCAGTCTCAACCAGTTTGTGGGCAACACCCCCACCAAGCACTCCCTCAACTGGGCTGCTTTGAAGCCTGAGTGAAAGAATCCACAGAGAGCTGCAGGCACAGTCCCTGACAGGCGAGTGAGCCCCTCCCTCTGCAACAGCAACTCAGCCCTAAGACTGTGTACTGCATCCTGTGGATCTTCTCTTTTAAGCCTCACACAAGGACTGTTCTAGGCATTGGTGTAGCACTACCCTTCAGCACAGATATACTAACGGTCCATAATGATAGGATTTCAATCGGCTGCTGTTACCCAAAACACATCTCCTTTCAACAATCACAATAAGGTTTTGGTTCAATACGGCAGGCTGGACTATAAATACCATCTCCACATCGGACTTTCTAATTGGATTTCAAAAGCACACCAAGCTAAT